GCTATATTATTGTTATTATTATTATTCCGCCGCTTTTTTCAAATGCCTGTAACAAGTGCTCTGTAAGTCAAAAACTCATGAAACTTTGCACAATGGTACAGTCCTGTGCTCTGCAGAGCTTATTATAATATAGAGGTCATAGGTCACATGATGTGGCAGCCATCTTGTTTTTTTCGTGACGATTTTTGTAACTATTCAGAAACCTGCATCTCCAGAACCGCTAAATCTACAGATGTACAACTTGCTGTGTGAGCTTATGCTTTTCTCTGTTGCCACATGTGCTCATTAGCGCTCTATTGGTCACATGGTTTGGCAGCCATTTTGGATTGATTTCAACGATCAAAAAATATATCAAAGCGCTAGAGGTTTAAGTGGTATAAAACTTGGTGCAACCAAGTAATAAGTGAAAATTAGGGGTTAAGCGATCTGGCCTAAAACCCAAACTGATGCAACTTGGCCCAATGGTACAGCTCTATGCTATGCCCAAACTTTTGCAACATAAAGGTCATAGGTCACATTGCCTGGCAGCCATCTTGTTTTAGGTGATTATATTCAGCTCCATATTCAAACATCCGTTTCTCAGAAACTGATAAAGCTACAGACCAACAAATTGCTGTGTATATTCATGATATGATCTGCATTCACGACTGCACATTACAAGTCAATTGGCCACATGGTTCGGCGGCCATATTGAATTGTGTCAAATTCGACAAATATTTATATTATTTTGATGCTCTTTTTTCAAATGCTAATTATTGCCACACCGTTATGTAAAAACTCATGACATTTGGTAAAATGGTAGAGGACTATGCTGTGTTTAAACCTTGGAAACATAAAGGTCATAGGTCGCATGCTCTGGCGGCCATCTTGGTTTAAGCAAGCCTATTTGACAATTTTCAAACATCTTTTTTGTTCATAACCACTAAGGCTACAGATATACAAATTTCGAGGTGAGGATAAGTTGAGTTCTGCACTCATATATGTTTATTACAAGTCATGTGACCACATGGTTTGGCAGCCATTTTGGATGGTGCAATATTCTGCAAACAACCTAAACTCTGAAACTATTTATCAGAATAATTCAAAACTTTGCACATATGTCCAGGGCAACCTCTTCTACCACGGATATAAAACCAGGCGATGGATGGCTAGACGGATGATCGGAGCTGCTGCAATGGACGTCCGTTCAGCCTCACATCCTGGCCACCAAGCTAATCACTTTTTGACATTGCATCCAATTGCATAAATGTGCATTTATATCCCTAGTGATGTTAAACTTGTTATACATATGATAACGCAACATCATAACTGCCAAATACAATATGGCTTCCAGAGGTCACCAAGGTCGGCGGCCATTTTGAATTTGTTTTTTTTTTTATAGTTCATAAAACCATGTCCTTTTTTTTATCTCTCTAACTACAATATCTTCCCATGCGCTATGACAGGCTCTGCTGCTTGGCCACCTTTATTGCTACTTGCAGCTATATTTTATATTTATATTGATTGATAATTTATGTGGTATATGCAGTTTTATGAAACATTACATATTTTATTGTAAGCATATGTCATTTTTTATAAGCATGGATTATGCGCATATATGTTGAATGTATGTTTATAAGGTTGTGGATTTCTATATGGATTTTAATGTAGTTTTGTGCATAGGCCTCTACAAGCTCTATTAAGTACAAATACTGAAATCATGTTGATTATGAGTAAACAGATTGTGCCTTATCAGCTAATAATTTCAGCCTATCTTGCGGCTGTTTTAGTTTAATTAAGTCCTTTTGATTGGCTCAGGTTTGAACATCTCTGATTGGTTGAAATCTGATGACGAGCCGATGGTCTTGCTTAAAGTCTGTCTGTGCTTGAAGTGGTCAGGGTTCTGAGGAAGTGGGCATGCCCCAGAAACGCATTAACCCTTGCCACTCGCTGCTGGAAGATGACTTTGGTCCAGAGCTGCCTTGGCTGCGCTGTGGTTTCTGATGGGCGATAGCCTCCTGTAAGTACATTATTAAGCGATCCTGTAAGTACATACAATACGCTTGTGTCACTTTTCTCTTGTGAGTACATTATTAAGCGATCCTTCACATGGAGTGGGTGCTCTCCTTTTTTGTCATTCTATAGATGTTAAGGTTCCCTGCCTTGTGGAGCTGCCCCAGTGTGATTAGGTGGAATCAATTGAGGAGGGCTTGCTGTGATTCATTTGCGCTGGGAAGATTTTGAATTTACACAGGTTGCCGCCAGAACAAATCTTAGGATAGCCTTCCTTATATTTTGAATAGACCTGGGAAGCAATGATAATAATGATACTAAGGGACCACCCTCCATAGATGCTGACTCCAAAGAACGTTAAACCTCAAACACTGCTTCCCAGAACGGTTTTATTTTATGGCAGCTCCACCAGATATGCAAATGCATTCCCAACTCTCTGACATATCTCCAACATCTATCAGACCATTCCGGACTTACATGACTGAGCCCTTCTGGACAATATTTTAGATTTTTTTTCCTGATAAAAGGGGAGATAACAGATGCATATTGCATAGTAAATATCCTTTCCCATTCTTGCTCAGACAATTCTCTCCCCAGATCACATTCCCTCATAAGGCCATAAACTATCGATAAAAAATGTTCCATAGGTGATCTTAGGTCATAGGTCAATGGCCCTATTTAGGGTATTATAGGCCTTCAGATATCTTATATAATCCAATAGATGCACAGCCTCCAGCCATGTTTTCCCATTAATCTGCCTCTCTGGTCTTAACTCGATTTTAATTTGGTCTCTTCCTGGCTCTAATACATGCCTCTAATACAAACTGCGGGTTTCCTATAATAGGGGTTAATAGTCCAGTTCTTGGGGATAAATTATACTTAGTAAATAAAATATAATACACCCGTAATACTGGAATTGCTAGAAAAGACAAAGTAGACCGATGTGGTTTATATTCAATTGGTAGCCATGCAATATTTATGAGAGGTACTACATACATTTGTGCTTCCCCCTAGAAAGGTATGGCACACATTACAAGTCCCAGGAGAATATTAAATTAGGTAAACAGGACAAAGTCTTTTCACTGCAGGAGAACAATAGATACCTGCCTGGTACCTAGCAGTCTGGAGGTGATTAAACAAAGTGAGGGATTATTACCTAAACCTAATTACATCAGAGAATACAAATAGCTGATGCCAGGAAACCTGTTTTCACACTGATTCAAGATATAGAGTTTCTCATAAATTGAACCAGGGGCAGAGTTAACCCCTCATGTGTTGATGACTTCACATCCTGTACCTATAATGGGCACAGGGTGGCTTAAAAATAAGGGGTGGCTGAGGAACTATGGAAGGGATCTCCCAACACAAGTCCACAGTCTGGTCCAGGGCAGGATACTGGGGTATAGGGAAACACAAATAATATTTTGTCTGCTATATTAGGAATAGTCGACCATAGATGTTACTTAACCCCTTCGTGACTGACGACGTACAGTGTACGTCGCCAGCATCGGGGCTATTTAAACAGACTCCCGGCGACTTTTGCCGCCGGGACTCTGTGTAAAATTGAAAAGTCGACTGTCGGCTTTACAACAGAAGCGATTCTGGCGACTTACCTGTCGCCAGATCGCTTCTGTGTCCCGAAGAAGGGGCCGCCACCCTGCCGGACACCGCCGCCGTGCTTCCCGGGCTCCGTTGCCCCTCCTACGGGCCCGGGGTCCTTGGTGTCCGCGGGGAGGAGGTCGACGAACTTCCGTTCATCGATCCCCTCCCCATTCTATGGGACCGGGAGCGATGCAGATTGCATCACTTCCGGTCCCTGGGCTGTCAGTTCTGGGCTCCTGCAGCCCAGCTAAAAGCTATTGAAGTGCGATCTGCACTTCAATAGCTTATTTCCAGTGTAAAGGTGACACTGGGGGTCTTTTGGACCCCCAGCATCACCTTAAAGAGTACCTGTCACCACCATCTGCTATCACATGGGGGGGTTTGTAAGCCCCCCTTGTGATAGCAGTCAAAGTAAAGTAAAAAAAACCAAAAAAACTGTTTTTAAAATTAAAACCAAATAAATCTAATAATAAAAAACATGTTAAAAGTCCCCCGCCACCCCGCGCGTCGCCACGTAAACACGTGTCGGGTGCGCCTACGTATGAAAACGACGAACACGCACGCCGGAGCAATAATTCTAGGGCCAGTATTTTGGGCTATCTCTAAATTGATGACCTGTGGGGGCTTTTAAAGCGTCTTCTGTGGACTTTTTGGGGTACTGCAGTTTTGCGCCGTTTCACAGACGCACGCAATTTGTAAACTGAGCATGTTGGGTATCGTTTTACTTGTTGTAACCTCATCTTTTATATTTCATTTAAAAAATTGGTATTTTATTGTGTTTTGGGGCATTTAATTAAATTTATCACTACATTTTGGGGTTTAATAAGGAGTTGTGCTAATATTGCGCAACATTAAAATTTGCAACTACCACCATTATATTGTATAGGGTCTTGGCATTCAGAAAATATATAATGTGTGGGGGTTTTAAGTAATTTCCAGGCCTAAAATGTGGAATATAACATGGGTGCAAAAAAATGAGAAAAAGGCCTCAGTCATGAAGGGGTTAAAGACCAAGACAAAGTGTTTTTAAAAAAATTTGAAAAAAATGTATTTGTACATGAATTACAAAACACCATCACTGCGCACCTTGCCAAAGCCACTCTTCCAATTAATATAACCCCCTCCACAGCCAAGGCCCATAGTCAGTTGAAGAAGACAGGCCTGCTGTTCCCTCCAAACAGCTTCCGTCAAACTGGTGACTTTCGATCTTCTTGTTCTATGAACCTAGGGTAACCTTACAAGGTAATGTAAGCTCACAGGCTCAGTTTAGCAATGTATAGATTGTATTGAATTATAGGAAGCAGCTATAGATTGCACAATCCCTGAAATTATATTAGCACTGCTGTCAGAATTATACTTTTAACTATGGTATTGATAAAGGTGAAATAGTGTCAGAGAGTATATACCTGCTGGAAAGCTTGATTTAGGTTCCCTTGCTGCAGAAGTTGCAATATGTGCGTCTGCTGTGAGTGAAAGTCAAAATGGGAAGATGGTATTGGAGTCCCGGCAGCAGATCGCATTACATGCATAATGCTCGAGGTGACTGCTGCTTGCTGTTCCTTCATAGCAAGGTTTACTTCTTCCTTTATTATCCTTTGGACATGGTTCAGAATAGAGTCCTGCATACTGAAAATAAAGTCAGTGTAAGCATTTAAAACTATTAAGTGATAAAAGAATTATCAGAAATTAAAAATAATCTTCTAATACATAATTTCCATAATCAGTGCAAGCTGGAAACACTTTTTTTCAGGATAATGGTCCACTTGTAACCACACCACACCCATAAAACAACCCATATTTGTATTCACAACTACAAAATCATACCCATATTTTCAGAATGTCCTGAAACAATTGATCGAGATCAATAGAGTGCAGGCGTCAGAAGAAGGTAACACATGGAATAGAGAGGTCAGGAGGAGTAAGAAACGCATGAAGTATGAGGGTCATGAGTAGATAACACAGAGTACAGGGGTCATCAGTAGGTATCACATGGAGTACAGGGAACATCAGTAGGTAACGCATGGCGTACAAGGGTCATGAGCAGGGGACAGTAGCAAGTAACGCAAAGTTCAGAGCTCAGTAGTAAGCTAGGGTTCAGGGGTCAGTAGTAAGTAATGCAGAGTTCAGGGAACAGTAGTAACTAACACAGGGTTCTGGGGTCGGTAGTAAGTGATTTGAGGTTCTAGAGGTAGCCATCACATCATGTACACAACTGGCTGCATACGACTGCAGTTCACAACCACCAGGGACGCTGCTTGGGACATTTGTTTACCGGGGACAGATCAGAAATAACATCCATATATGGAGTGGCTGGTTTAAAGGGATTAACAGGTTCTTTTTTTTATCTCAACATCATTCACTAGGGCACACAGTATTCAACACCTGGTTATAGCTCCTGCCTCTAGAAAGTCTACCAAGTGGCAAAGGCAGTACAAGAAAAGGTGGTGAAGAAAAGGTTCCCTATCTAAGAAACCTCTTAACTGTGGAAAAACATAACCAATGAACCTCCCCCCCAAAAGAAAAAACAAAACAAAAAACAGCATGGTCTGCGGGATCTGTGTCTACCAATAAACAACAGGGGAAAAGTATTTCACATTGATTACAAAAAATAGGATTTTTGTACTTACTGTAAAATCCTTTTATCTGAGTCAATTTAGGGCGAACGCTTTATGCTAAGCAACCAAGGGTTGTACTGTAAGCTACAGAAGAAATGGACACAAGGTACATACAGGGCCAGATTTACTTTCTCTGCTGCCCCCAAGGCCAGGTTCCTCAATGCGCCCCACTCCCCACCAACCCCCCCCTCCCCAATGGAGAATAGCAGCCAGATGGGGGGGCGGCAGAGTTGGTTTTATTTTTTATAATTTTTTAATCTTGTTTTTTACTTTTGTTTTAATTTTTCAACCACTGTTTTATTTTTTATAATTGTTTATCTAATTATTAAATACTTTATTGATTTTTTTTATTTTAATTAATTTATCTTATTTTCTACTTTTTACATTTTAATTTTTTTAAATCAATTTTAGTTTTTAAATTTTTACTTAACTTTATTGCTATCACATAGGAGCTAACAAGCCTTCTTTATTGAACCTGTCATTTCTTATACACTGTGCTGGCTCTCCTGTGACAGCTTAGATGGGGAAGGCTGCGAGTACAGCTCCTCCATCTCAGTGTTTACATAGAGCAGAGTGGGGAACGGACGTTCTCTGCTCTGCTCCCCATTCCGAAGAGAGCATCTCCATCTCCGGAGAGAGACGGCTGGCAGGGGAGGGGGGGAACAGACCTGCATCCCTGACATCGCCAAGACCCCTGGTACACAGCGAGCTGCAGCTTCCCTGCTCTACATTTAGCTCTGCTTGCCCAAAGCAGGGCTAAATGTAGAAAAAAACTGCCCACCCGGAACTGCATGTCCCGGGCATCAGGAGATAGGAATTTCACACCCCGGCTGTCTCTCTACTCCCTGCTACCCCAAGGCTGGGCCTCGGTGGCCTTGTGGGAAGTCCGGCCCTGGGTACATAGAAAACTGAAGTCCAGGCCCCTTGACGCTATAGCCTCTCCGAACTTACACCCCCTCAGCTCTAGCAAGCAGTCCAAAGAGATAAAAAGATAGAATAAGTGGGGTGGGAGCTGGGTCCTTCAACAGAGAAAATAATTGTATGGTGAGCATAAATAACCTATTTTCTACAGGTGAAACTCGAATAATTAGAATATCGTGCAAAGTTCATTTATTTCACTAATGCAACTTAAAAGGTGAAACTAATATATGAGATAGACTCATTACATGCAAAGCAAGATAATTCAAGCCGTGATTTGTCATAATCGTGATGATTATGGCTTACAGCTCATGAAAACCCCAAGAACCCCAAATCGACAACCTCAAAAAAGTAGATTATTACATGCAATCAATAAAACAAGGATTGTACATAGAACAATATCGGACCTCTGAAAAGTACAAGCATGCATATGTACTCAGTACTTGGTTTGGGCCCCTTTTGCAGCACTTACTGCAATTACTTTTGCACGATATTCTAATTATTCGAGTTTCACCTGTATATATCATTCATTGAGGGGTACAGCTTTATTTATAATATACAACCAAGGGACATGCAAGACCAGTCCAATCTGAACACAGGCGAATCAGCCTCTTACAGAATGTTTTGATCTAAACTAGCATCTGCAGAGGCAAATGCACTGACCTTGTAGAACTTAAGAGACGGTATGAATAGAAAACCAGCCTTACAGATCTGGGACACAGTGGGCTAATTATGATAAGCCTAAGAAGCACTTACTGCCCTAGTGGAATGGGCTTTAACAGGAAAAGGAGGCACTTTATTTTGCAACTTATAGGTCTGTGCAACGGCCTGTCAAATCCACTTAAAAACCATGGATCTGGAAGCCACAGAACCTCTTTTAGGACCTTCTGGAATAGCAAACAGGCAATCCATCTGCCTAAAAGAGGCAGTGGTCTAAAGGCAACCCCTGATGACCTGGTGAACCAGACACAAAAAAGGCAGCACAATAGCCTCAAAGGGAAAAAGCAGAGACCACTCTGGAAAAAAAAGCACCTTGGTCACAAAACAACCTTGTCATTATGTAGAATAAAGTGGGGCTCCCTACAGGACAACACTGATAACTCAGAGACCATTCTAGCTGAAGTGATCACCACAATATGCCAATCTGCATGGTGAATACCGCTGTGACAGATGTGAGCAGGTTGCACTCCTGAAAGCTTACACTAGAGATCTGGAAGAATGTATTGCAACACTGAGGAGGCTTGACAACCTTGAAAAGAGTCTTCTGCTCACTGAGCAGGCAGTTAATGGGGTTGATGTGGAGGGTGGAGGGGTAAACGGGGATGATCAGGTAGGAAGTTGGGTTACTGCAGCTAGAGGGAGTAGCAAAGGCTCACAGAAAAGGAAGGCCAGTCCTGTGTTTGAGCACCCACACAAATTTGCTAAGTTGGTTGAAGATGTGCGGGTGGCAAACTCAGAGTTGGCAGTCTTAGATGTCACTGCTACCCCTAACAGCCAGGAGAGTGGCATATCTAGTCCAGGTGGTGAAGGTAATGCAGGAAGACCTAGACAGGTTGTGGTATTAGGGGATTCTATAATTCGGAGCACTGATAAAATAGTTTGTTGCCCACCTCAACTGAATGGTTTGCTTTCTCCCTGGTCCCAGGGTACGGCATGTGGTGGGCCAGGTGGACAAATGACTAGGAGGGGCTGGGCATGACCCAGCTGTCTTGGTCCATGTTGGGACCAATGACCGAATACATGGAAGATGGAGGATCCTTTAAAATCAATTTAGAGAACCAGATTGCAAACGGAAGTGAAGGAATATTGGCTGTGCCGTGCACAACACAGGACTGGGTAGACAAATTAATGGGGGGAGCTGGGCATGACCCAGCTGTCTTGGTCCATGTTGAGACCTATGACAGAATACATGGAAGATGTAGGATCCTTAAAAATCAATATAAAGAACTAGGTTGCAAGCTGAAGGAAGGACCTCCAAGGTAAAATTCTCTGGAATGTTGCCTGTGCCATGCGCAACACACGACAGACAGTGGAAGCATGAGAACTAAATGCATGGCTGAAGACCTAGTTTAAGAGGGAAGGCTTTGGGTTTCTAGAGCACTGGGTTGACTTTTCATTGGGGTATAATCTATATGCTAAAGATCGTCTGCACCTAAATGGAAGGGGGTGTGCAAGGGGAGAGGTTCATGGGAAGGTTGGAGGAGTATTTAAACTATGATTGAGGGTAGGGATGCTCTAATACCACTTTTGTAAGACAGAGTACGAGTACCGATACTTTTTTCAAGTACTCGCAGATACCAATTACGATACTTTTTCTTAAAGGGACAGGTCACATTTTTTCTAAAGCAATACAAAATCATGATTTTAGGTCAGTTTCTTAATATTATGAAGAACATGAAATGAATATTTATCATGCCATTGCTAACTAAGGCTGTATAGTGTGGCACAGCTATATCCAATTCTGCATACCTGGCTTTATATTATAAGAACTTTATAATATAAAGCCAGGTATGCAGAATTGGATATAGCTTGCCACACTATACAATAATACACTGTTAACAGAATACACTGTTCTGTTCTAGTGTGGCACAGCTATATCCAATTCTGTATAACTGGCTTTATATTATTATTAAATTGTTTTATAATATAAAGCCAGGTATGCAGAATTGGATATAGCTGTGCCACACTATACAGTGTTCTGGTCTGGAGTCTGGGCATGTGCTCATCTATTTTCCCCACTAGGGGGATACAAGCCTTAGTTAGCAATATCTACATAGTTATTTCTTTATTTAATGTCTTTTTTAAAAATAATATATGCCGTTAAACAGCACTTTTCTGCCCAGCCCCATGCGGTGCTGCAGTACTAATCTGCTGTGTCGTCTTCTCCGTCTGCTTCAGCCACTCTGTGTCACAGCCTAGTCATCTGCTCCATTCTAACCTCTTCTGCCACTGATTGGCCGATTGGATGATGGCAGGCTTCCTCACCAGTCACTCACCAATCAGCGGCAGAAGAGGTCAGAATGGAGCAGATGACTGAGGACTTGGAGGAGGAGTTCGCGGCCATCTTGTTTCATTGACGATATGGAGGTCCTG